TCTTGGACACTGAGTTTCAGTAAAAAGGAGCGCTTTATTGGAACCAACCAGTTGGGGACACAGACAGTCTCGGGAGCTGTACTGCGACCCCGAACAGTGAAAATGCAGAACTTTTAAGCAGAAAAAACACAAAAACCACAAAGCAGAGGCTGTCCATAGAAACTATACACAGAATAACAAGGGAAGGATTGGAACAATCTAGGGCTGATTTCCAGAAACTTTACCTATACAGCCATTGGCTGTCTTACCTGGGGCAGAACGTTCTTTCTCTTCTGCCCCAGATTATTCCCATAGAAACCATACACAGATGTATCAGGTGTACTGCCATTGGCTAGCTTACCTGCAGCAGAACGTTTTATCTCTTCTGCCCCAGACCCTTTCCATAGAAATTATAAACAGATACCAGGAAAGGGTTTGAACAATGGAGGGGATTTCCAGAGTCAGGTGGAGGGCAGCTTTTTCTCAGAGGACAGGGAGGGGGTCTGAGGGGCATTCTCCTTCACCTGAAGAAGGGAACTGCCGGCAGTATTCTGAGGACTCCCCAGCAGGGCACCTGCATCAGCCTCCGCTGTCAGGCAGTACAGGCAAACTCCCTAAGAGGGGACTTACATCAGTCTGGGCTGCTTCTGCTTCCCCAGTCAGACCTCCGGTTTCTCTCTCCACACCACTAGCAAGGTAAGAGAGCGCCAGAGAAGCCACTTTCATTTTTGGTTTCTCTCTTGGTTTTGGCTCATTGGCGATCTATCACCATCTGGCTCTGGGCTCTGATCAGAGAAACTAGGTGGGAAGGCTGGACGCAGCAAGTCTCCCCCTAGTTGGGTACAGAGGGAATGCCCCTGGACCTGCCTGGCTACAAAGTGTGAAGTCCGGTCATTTTTCTGGAACTTAGACTTGGTGACAACCTGGTTAGTGTTATTTGTCTGTGCTTGTCTTATTCTGTGTTTTGGATTGGTGTCTGGGTCAGACTAAGTCTAAGAGTGCTACCCCATTGGAATGTATGTTGACTAATTTCTCTGATTTCAGGAAAAGAGCAGGAGCATATGGCTTTTGAGTCAAAGCTCCCAGACTCTAGACCCTATGTGAACTAGAGTGGCCCACCTTTAATGAAACTGATTGGCCCCCTGAAGGAATTTATGATTTAACGACTGCAATTTTTGTTCACATGATTTGTACCCAGCTTCATCCTGATCAAATCCCGTACACAGTCACTTGGGTTGATTTACTTAATGACCCCCCCACAATGGCTTAAACAGTGTCCACAGGTTCCTCAGTTAAAGAAGACTCCTCCACCTGTTCTTCAGCTCCCCCTGCTCTCCTCCCTGTTTCTAAGCATAAGAAGTTTATCCTGTTCTTCAGGAGACTGAGGATCCCCTAGACCCCCTCCTTATATCCCTCAGGTCCTGCAACCCTCACCACAGGCAGCAGCCTCTGATGATAGTGTTGAGGATGGTTCCCCTTTAGATGGTGATGTGCAAAGCCCTTCCCACACTCAGATGGGGAACAGACATGGAGACTGTCATCCCCAGGCTGGAGCTTCCACTTCTTCAACTCCACCTGTCCTCTTGCCCCTATGAGAGGTCACTCCAGCACGTGGACAGGATGGTGAAAGAGGCTAATTATGCCCCCTTTCTCCACTACAGATCTTTATAATTGGAAGTCTCATAATCCTCCCTTTTCAGAGGATCTCTCCAAACTTATTGATTTACTTAGTTCTTTTTTTTTTTTTTTTGGTTTTTTTAAGACAGGGTCTCCCTGTAGCCCCATCTAGCCTGGAACTCACTATGTAGACCAGGCTGGCCTTGAACTCACGGAGATCTGCCTGTCTCTGCCTCCCAAGTGCTGGAATTAAAGGAGTGCGCCACCACGTCTGGCTCTCAGTTCTATTTTTATAACTCATTGTCCCACCTGGGATGACTGTCATCAGCTTTTGCAGGTACTCTTTACTTCTGAAGAGCGAACCAGAATCCTGCAGGAAGATGCCCATTCTGTCCTGGGAGCAGACAGCCTCCCATCACAAGACCAGGTGGTTGTCGAAGCAGTCTTTCCATCAGCTAGACCACACTGGAACCCCAACACCCATAAGGGGCGGGATCACCTTACCAGGTACAGTCAGACTCTGTTACAGGGATGGAGAACGGCAGCTTGGAAGCCCACAAACCTATCCAAAGTCAGTCAAACAATACAGGAGTCAGGTGAGTCTCCGGCTGCTTTTCTCAAGAGGCTTTATCAAGCCTACCGCCTCTATACTCCTATTGATCCTGAGGCGCCTGAGAATCGAAGAACCTTAAACATTGCCTTCGTTTCTCAATTGGCCCTAAACATTAGGAAAAAGTTGCAGAAACTTGAAGGTTTTGAAGGGAAATTAATATCCAAGTTAATGGAGATAGTCCAGAGAGTCTATATTAACCAAGACTCCCTCACTCAAGAGCAAGGAAAAGAGATAGGGAAGGTGTTAGTAGCTTCATTAGGGAGGGACATTAAGCAGCCTCAGAGGAACAGGAGGGACCCTCATAAGCCACAAAAGGATGGATCTGACAAACCTAGACTTAGACAGAATCAGTGCACATACTGCAAAGAGGAAGGCCACTGGAAGAGCGAATGCCCAAACCATAAAGGAAAAGAGGCTGCTTTGGCTATTAAGGAGGCATGATGTGACCTTGGTTTTTCCCTTAATCCTCAGGAACCAAGGGTCACTCTACAGGTAGAAGAGAAGCCTACCAGATTCATGGTAGACACTGGGGCATCCATTTCAGTGTTAAAGGAGCCTTTAGGCACTCCTGAGGACAAGAAACTGACAATTCAAGGAGCTACTGGAAAGTACCAGTCTTATCCTCAAACCAGAGCTCGAATAACCAACCTGGCCAAAGGAACCGTGACTCATTCCTTCCTTTTGATACCAGATTGCCCCTACCCCTTGTTGGGGAGGGACCTTTTACACAAGCTTAAGGCTAATATAACCTTTACTGGAGACTCAGTGGGATTAACCCTCCAAACTCCCATTGTCCTTGTTACCTGCCCTTTATCTGAGGAGTATCTTTTGCAGCAAAAGCCCCATGAGAAGGAGCAACAAGGGGATTCATCTGCCTTGTTAGAAACTTGGAAAACTAAGATACCCCATCATGTATGGGCAGAGACTAACTTCCCAGAACTGGCAAAGCATCAACCACTTTTGGTAATTCAGTTGCTTAGCACAGCTACCCCAATCAGGATATGACAAGATCCTATCAGCCTCAAGCCAGGTTGGGAATTGCTAAACATATCAACAGACTCTGGGAAGTGGGAATTCTTGATCCCTGCCACTCTCCATGGAACACACTGCTTCTGCCAGTACCAAAGCCTGGGACTAATGAGTTCGGGCCCATCCAGTTACCTGAGGGAGGTCAACAAGCAGGTTGAGGTTATTCATCCTACTGTACCTAACCCTTATACTCTCCTCAGTGAGTTGGGGCCTGAAAGACAAATCTGTTCAGTGTTTGATTTGAAGGATGCCTTCTCCTTACCAATTGCAGTAACAAGTCAGCCTATTTTTGACTTTGAATGGATTGATCCTGATAGATCTTTTAATGGGCAGCTTACTTGGACATTACTTCCTCAAGGATTCAGAAACTCTCCTGTGTTGTTTGATGAGGCGCTGAGATGAGACCTCACCAACTATAAGGGGCTCACCCAGAGGTAATTCTTTTACAGTATGTTGGTGATCTACTCTTAGCAGCAGATAATCCTGTGGACTGTGAGCTGGCCTCCAAGGCTTTGTTAAAGGAACTGGACCTACTGGGATACAAGGGTTCCTCAAAGAAGGCACAGGTATGCCTCCCTTCTGTCACCTATTTGGGGTATCAGATTCATGAAGGGAAGAGGTCATTAGGCCCAGACTGAATTCAGGCTATTCTTGACATACCTGCACCCAGAAATAGAAGACAAATCTGGGAATTCCTGGGGGCAGCAGGATATTGTAGACTTTGGAATCTGGGCTTTGCGGAAATAGCTAAGCCCCTGTATGCCTCCACGGTGAAGGAGGGGACAGAGTTTGTCTGGGGTTCATCAGAAGATCAAGCCTTTCAACAACTTAAGAGAGCCCTGACTTAGGCCCCTGCCTGGGCCTTGCCTGATGTTACTAAACCCTTCCTGCTTTTTGTGCATGCAAGTAAAGGAGGAGTCCAAGAAGTTTTTATTCAGACTTTGGGACCATGGAGGAGACCGGTGCCTTATTTGTCCAAGCAATTAGATCCGGTGGCTTCTGGGTAGCCCAACTGTTTAAGGGCAATAGCGGCCACTACCCTCCTAGTTAAGGAAGCCTCTAAACTTACTCTGGGCCAGGACTTGAAAATTATTGGCCCCCATGCAGTAGAGACCTTGCTGCGTATTCCACCTGACAGATGGATTTCAAATGCAAGCATCACACAATATCAAGTATTGCTGCTGGACCCCCCATGGATAACTTTCCTTAAGTCAAAAACTCTTGAATCCAGCTACCTTCTTACTGGAGGAGGTTGCCGGACCTCCTGTTCATGACTGTTTAGAGACTGTGAGTACTCTGACCGGGGTATGGGAA